GTTGCTTATGAGTGCTTTAATCGAGTTTGTACTCTCCCTCCCCTTGTAGATTGTTGTAATAGAAAGACCTAAATGTGTTTCATTTCTGTACCTCTTGTCCTTATTCCTTTCCTCGTCATTTTGCATCATCCAGTTAAAATCACTAACAATAATGATTTTACTGTTTGCAAACTGTACAAGTATAAGCCCCAAAAACTGTGCCTGTTTGTCCTTTCTTTCTGTCAGTATTGTCATGTGTGTACAACCTATAATCTTGTATGATATATTGCCATTGATGTTCTTTGCAACCACTCTATAGTCTAGATCTAATTTAACTCCGGTGGATTGAGTACGTAGTACTAATACCACCACCTGGAGCCACCTTAAACCGTAGATTATAGATATGATTGGTATGTCTGTTAGACTTATATGCCTATTATCCACTGTTTGTTGATTTTGTGTCTGCTGTTGTTGATGAGATGCACATTTTGTCCTTATGGTATTGTTTAGATGTAATTTAAGTCCATTGGAATGAATGCATAGCATTAATACCACCAACTGAACCTCAATTACACCATAAAACAATAACAAAGTCCACTTACCTGTATAACAACAAATTAATGGAGCTTTAATCTGGAACAAATATTCTCTGATCTTCATGTCCTCCTCCCAAAGGATTTGGACATTGCATGACACCATGTATGTATTTCCTTGAAATTTCCCATATGAACTGATTCCCTTTTTTACAGATGCATCATCCATCTGACTTCCTATGATTTGGAACTCCAATGTCTGCAATCTGTGTTTCTGTGTATTCTTCCTTCTTCTTTGTGTGTGACTAAGTGTTATCCTTTGTGAAAGACAACACTTCCCTGATTCTGCCACTCTCTCTTTGAATGCCTTTGGTACTATACTATATTCTATACTTAAGTCTGCCCAAATGGACTGAGTACTAAGTACTAATACCACCATCTTAGGTTTCATTAAAGTATAGAATATAGATAGTTTAACTGTACCTGCAAAAAAGAAAAACAGATTAGTAGTAAAAACTTCACTCATACTCTCCTCTATCCAGATTTGAGTATGAATGATGCAATAAGTGACTCCTGTTTCTACTTCTCCCCCTTCCTCCTTTTCTTCTGCTAACTTCTTGCAATTCTCACTCTCCTCTTTGTAAATATGAACATGGGGATTGCCACATAAATCCTCAGCTTTACTCCCCTCTCCTTCTTCCTTCAATCCCCCTATCTTCTTGCAACTCTTATTCTGAGATTTGGACATTGTAGTTTATCCTCATTAACAATCCTCCTGCTTTGACTATCTAGGCTCCAAAAATCATAACATTCATTATCTCCCCTATCTAGTGCATATTTAGCCAAATGATCTGCTAGCTTGTTACCTTCCCTGTATATGTGTGAAATTCTGATATTGCACCCCTCTTTTAATCTACTAATTTCCTCCAATTGTTCAACAATATTCCATGGTGGCTTCCACACTCCATCAATAACATTCTTTAGTAGCAAGGAGTCTGTTTGAAGCCATATATTGTTGTACTCCATGGCTCTACAGATTCTGAGTGCCTCAACTATTGCTACTGCTTCTGCTATTAGACCCCTCTGTTATTTCTTTTGCCAAAGCATACTTGACATCTCCCAAGTAATCTCTCAGAACTACACCTATAGCACTTCTCCCAGGGTTCCCTCTAGAAGCACCATCAGTGTTAGCTTTAATCCATCCCTCCATAGGCATTTCCCAGGTCACCTTTTCATACTTCAGTTTAGGAGTGTAGACTTCAAGCATATGTAATAAACTCTGCCACCTTTGAGGAATATTCAAACCTGGTTTCCTCAATTTTACCAAAGACTGCAATGTAGATGATACCTGGTATATAACCCTATTAACTGAAACTGTGTCACCATATTTCATTGAATTTCTCCTCTTCCATAATTCCCACACTATGCATGCTGGTAATGCTTGCATCACAGGCTTAATCCTAGGAATGACTGGAACAGTCCAACACTTTGTAATGGCTTGATGTAAGGACAGTCCTTCTACTGCAATGCCTGCCCTCATTAGGAAGTATTTCCACACCACCCTTGCAGCATTAGATGTGAAGAAGACATGCCCTAAAGTTTCCTCTTTAGGTTCAGCACAACACCAACACTTAGAGGGCATTAGGTATCCAATTCTTCTCATAAAATCATCTAATGGGAGCTTTGCTTTCCACACCTTCCACATAAAGAAAGAGATCTTGAAGGGGAGCCCTTTCACCCATATCTTTTTATAAGCTTCTCTAGGATTATCTCTTCTTCTTATATATTCCCAGGCTGATTTTACTGAAAATTGCCCCTTAGATTCCAACATCCAATATGGAATGTCCAGCACCATATCTTCTGTAGGAGGTCTAATATTCTGTACAATATGTTGTGCCAAGTCAGGTGGTAATAATTGATATAACTTCACCACATTCCACCTGCTATCATGGCATACTTCACTCACATTCTGAATCTCCTCATCAATTGCAAAACCAGGGGGAACTTGAAAGTACAGAGCCCCCAACTCTGTCCAGTTGTCAAACCAGAACTGTGCAGATCCCATCTTCAGTTTCCAGAGGATTTGGTGTTCAATTAAATCTCTACATTCCAACATTTTTCTCCACACATGTGATCCATCCCTCCATGGAACAATGGTTGCATTTAACTTCTTACAATATTTTTGGCACATAAAAGAACTCCATAAACTAGGCTTAGTTCTGAAGTTCCACCATAATTTACAGAACAGAGCCTTTGAAACATCATGTAAAGATCTAAATCCTATGCCTCCTTCCTCATAAGGCATACAAAGTGTATTCCATGAGGCCCAATGCCTAGTATTTCCACCCACATTACTGCACCAAAAAAATCTTGCAAAGATCTTATGAATTTTATTAATCACATTACTTGGTGGATTTACTGCAGACAGCAAATGCATTGGCATGCTGTGCAGTACATTTGATATCAAAACAGCTCTTCCTCCAACAGATAATAACTTGCCCTTCCATGACTGTAATTTATCCATGATTTTAGAGATTAATCCCTGATAGTACTCCAGTTTCCTTCTAGCATAAAAGATTGGACAGCCTAAATATGTGAATGGGAACTCTTGCTTGTGTATTCCTGTTATTCTTTCTACCTTACTTACCACATCATCATCTGTCAAATGATGCATATAAATGGCTGATTTACTCTTATTAACCAACTGCCCAGAAGCATTTTCATAGGCATTAAGGACCTCCATCACCAACCTTAAAGATGTTTCATCAGATGAGCAGAAAATTATAGTATCATCAGCATATGATAGGTGATTTATTTTTGGACTCCATTTTGGTAGACCAAAGCCACAAAAATATAGATTAGAGTGCAGTGAATTCAGACCTCTAGACAATGCTTCAGCAGCAAGAATGAACAGGGTTGGTGACAATGGATCACCCTGTTTAACCCCCCTAGAAGACTTGAAAAAACCATGTGGTTGACCATTAATCAATATAGAGTACCAGTTGTTCCCTACCAAATCAAAAATCATACCAATGAAGGCTTCTGAAAATCCCATCTTCCTTAGTGTTTTTGTAAGAAACAGCCATGATAGCCTATCATAGGCTTTTGCCATATCCAATTTAATCACCACATTTGGACCAGCTTTTGTTCTAAGTCTAATATCTGTAATGATCTCCTGGGTTAATAGTACATTCTCTACAATGCTCCTTCCTTTCACAAAACCTGCCTGTTCTTGTGAGATTAAGCTAGGAAGCATTTCAACCAATCTTTCATGAATGACTCTGGAAAATATCTTATTTACAAAATTGCTTAGACTGATTGGTCTCATGTCTCCAAAAGTAACTACTTCTTTCTTCTTTGGTAATAGCACCAAATTTGTATGAGTAATACTCTTTGGAAGCTGCTGACCACAGAAAAATGACTTTACCATGTTGACCACATCATCTTCAATAATCTCCCAGCATGAGTGATAGAAAGCACCAGTAAAACCATCTGGACCTCCTGCTGAATCCCCATTCAATCCCATTACTGCCTGCTTCACTTCCTCTCTTGTAGGCAATGCTATTAACCTCTCATTCTGCTCTCCATCTATCAGAGTAGGGACATGATTCAGAATATCAAATGTAGAAGGGACTACACTCTCAGTGAACTGATCTTTATAGAACTTTACTGCTTCCTCTGCTATTAATTCATCTTCTTCAATCCAATTACCAAGGCTGTCTTGGATTCTTGATAACTTCAATCTTTTCCTTCTCCCATTGACCTGTGCATGAAAAAATTTGGTGTTTCTATCCCCCTCCTTAAACCATGTCATGCCTGATTTTTGTCTCCAGAAATCTTCCTCCAAAGCAAGATATTTGATCATTTCAGCTTGAACACATTGTAATCTCTGCCTGTTCATCACTGTTGGATTTAATTCAAATTGTCTTTCATGCACCAGGACTACTTCTTCTAGGCTTGCAATTCTTTGAAAAATATCCCCATATGTAGCTTTACTCCATGTTGACAGTGCTTTCTTTAATTTCTTCAATTTGTAGTTGAAGATAACAAAGGGACTAGCACTGAAATCTGCTGACCAATTTTCTTTAACCACCTCTTTGAATGATTCATGTTTAACCCAGAAATTAAGAAATCTAAAAGGTTTTTTAATAGGAGAGGTTTCAATATCACATTTTAATAACATTGGTCTATGGTCAGATCCT